TTAAGTATAAGACACTTTAGAAATCATGTCATTAAAAATGACATTTACAAAGAGTTTTTTAAAGGCATAGTAAAATATTTTCATTATATCCCTAAGATAAAAAGGCTGCAAACAGGCTTGAGTTTATAATATGGCTGTGACTGTCTGAAAAATGATGTAAACATGGAGAAAAATGAAAGAATAGACACCAAGTGTTCATTGTGGCTATCACTGGGTGGTTTGGTAGTATTTCTTTTCTTCCTAACTACTTTCCTGAATTTTCCAAATTACTTACAATAAGTATAATCCTGATAATAAAATTTTGAGTTTTTTAAAAAAAGTTATTTCTTCCTTTGTCCCATTCTTTCAGAAGTATATGGACTCTTTAAGGACACAGAATGCCACATATTCAGAGGGTACTCTAATTGGAAGGGATTTCAGAGGTGATGTGAATGAACATTTCCCCTAACACAGCTATCACATTCACAGCATCTCTGACAGATAGTCATTCGTTTTCTATTTGCAGACCTGCAGTGAGAGTTCCAGGGGCGAGGCACAGGGCTCATTCATATTCAAGAAGGCTCTAGCTCTGAGTGATGAAAAGTTCCTCCTTGTATTGACTCAGCATATTACGCTGAATTTTCATGTGTTGACTCTTCTCCTGGTGACTCCAAATCATTAATCCTAGTTCTACTCTCTGGAGCATGTTCTAGTTCTCTCTTTTTAAGATCATGTCAGGGGAAGATCTTGGCTTTATTATCAGTAGATCACAGTTTGAATCTCAGCTACACCCTTGTACGTATCTGATGATCTTGGACAGCAACTCTGAACTTCTGCTTCCTCGTTTGTTAAATGGAGATAACAATACCCATCTTTCAGAGATGCAAAAAAGATCATATGTACAAAGCACTTCTCATGGTATACAGCACACATGTATTGACTATTAATTATCTAGCTTCTTATCCTGAGGGGTAGGCACATTGCCTAGAATACAAGAATTCAAAACTTTTGTTGAATGAATTAATGAATTGTTTTTCAAGCAGTCTTTGATTCCACCTAAGCAAACAATAATCTACCAATATTTCTCATCATACCTTGAGAATGCTATGAAAGAATGTGAGATGCTCTGTGGAATTTAGGATACATGTTTCAGCCATACCTTGAATCACTGGACTCAGATCTGAGATTAGTCCAGCTAATGTTCTTGAACCCATGTTGCTCAGTGATCACACTCCCCTCATAGCTGTTCATAGGCAAGCTACTTAATAGTCTAGTCAAGAATTATGCTTAGAATAGACACCAAGATAACTGGGCAACAGTTTCAAAAACTTTGTTTTTTTTTTTAACGGTTTTTTTCTTTACTTGATATTTTGGCAGGTTCTGCTTAATCTCTCAATAAACTTTCAAGAAAAAAAGTGAAGCAACTAAAAAATAAGCCCTTAGTAATAATCAAAACATAATTAGAAATTACATTTGTTGGTACTTTGTACTTTTCTGGCTCCTTGCACCCCAGGTATAATGTATAAGGACCTGAAGATCTGAACTTACTTAAAGCACATCAGTGTTCTCTGCTTCCCCCCACTACTTGTGATTTGATTCCACCTTCATATTCTCAGTTCTACTCTTTCCAGAAGGGTGCAAAGGCTTTCAGAGCTACCAGGAGCAAACTGTGACATTTGTTTTCTCTATTAACTTGTTACTATAATGCCAGCCACCCTTGAACAGTGGTTCTCATTCCTCTGGACTCCTTTTAGGATTTCTGGCAAGCCATTCCTCCTCTTGGCCAGCAGTCTTTCTCAAGTGGCTTATATTAGTTTCTGCCCACTGACCTCTGGTTATCCAACTCTAATTTCATTGTTTTAAGATAGGAACAGCTTCAGTGATTTTATTTAGTATTCTCTCTTTCTTCCTTTTCCTCTGAAAAGAAGCAAGATATCAAGTGAAAATTTTCCTGTTTTCCCAGAGCTATATCTAAGAGCAAAGCTGAGGGCTAAACTATATTGACACCCCCCCACCACCACCACATTCTAAAATATAGAACATCTTTACAGAGCTTACTAATAGGTATCACTTTAAAATAAGCCTACTACCAACCACTGCTCTCTCTCACATAACAATGTAGGAAAAGAACCTAGAAAGTAGTGAGGAAGATTACCTTTTAAAGACATACTATTCTATGAAGGAAAAGGAGAATACATTATCTTGCTGCCTAAAATCAAAGGAAAAAGGCTTCAAGATAAATTATTTTAAGAATAGGAGGTGACTACATGCAGTAAGATGAGTGATTCATTTTTCTAGTTGGTAATCTGTTAGACCAGCACACCTGGGCTACCTGAGCCAGGGAAAAGAGGACCAGAGGGCAAAATAAGGCTGAGAGAAGAGGCAGCAATGAATACCTGGCCCCATCATTTGACATAGCATGGCCTCTTTCCTAAGAGCTGGTAGACACTGAAAAAAAGTTGTTGAACTCTAGCTATCTTTCCAGACTGCACCAAAAGGGCTGACCACCAGGAAAGGGGGGTCTCAGTTTGCATTTGTATAATTTTTGGAGGGAATAAGAACATGGTAAAGATCAAGCCAAATTTCCTATATCAGGAACTATGTTCTGGGAAAGGAAATACTTTGGAGACACTCAGAAGAACTCACACGTGAAAGAACCAGCAACCACTTACCTGCTACACAGAGGTGTTCATAATTGACCTTAAGCCAGACAAGCAAGGACATCTAACCAAGAAGGGAACTCAGCCTCATTACAGGCAGTTAAATAAGGAAGCATTTGCCCTTGTCCTTCTTCTACATTGCCTAAATGTGTGAAATATGATATTAAAAAAAAAAACTCCTGGCCAGGAGATGGAGACAGGAGAAGTCAATTATTTGTAGAATGGAAGGAGGAAGAGAACTTTGAACTTAATTTAAAACCAAATTTTTGAAACAATAACATAAGACTATTCTAATAATTGAAAGTAACAGAACCATCTACAATCTTGCTAACATATTAATTGCATGCAGTTAGGTACTGTGATAATTATATCACAGTACAATGAAGAAGAGTAATCAGAAGCATATACTCAAATGAATAGAAACTCTTAAACAAATACATTTAGTTCTATCTTCTCATGCTTTCTTCTCTGTTTAGAATGAGGATGGCCGTATCGTCATTACTTAGTATTTCCCTTTTTCTCCCTTATCTGGATTATATTGTGATTATACATTCAGAATACATATACATCTTGGTTTCCCCTCCAACAGCACAACGAAAATGATTTGAAAGAACAATGTGAGGTGAAAGTCGTGAAAGAGTCTCTGTTCTACCTTTGTGATGCCATAACTCAGATATACCAGGGAAGCCAGGATCAATGACAGGATGAATAGAGACATGACTACATAAACATTCAAACGGGGTGTCTTGGAACCCCTTGGCAGTGTGAAATATGGAGGGAATTCGTCCTGGTAGGAGAGCAAGATGTCTGTTTCTATAGAAGACTAGGCGTTCATTTCATTGGTCAGCATGGGCAACATCACTCATAATATCTCCCAACCCATTCTCATAAAAGCTTGTGCCAAATTCCATTAGAAGGGGTGATATAGGGAGTTGAAGGAGTTGGACGACGAATTATTAAATGAAAATGAATTTGGAAATCAAGAGACACACTAAGGAAATGCAAAGTTAAGACCAGATTGTTGCATACAAATGTAGCTGGTGGAAGGAAGGTTGCTCCCCACTCAGTATAAAACCAACAGCCCTGTGGAATGACATTCACATGAAGAGTTGTGCCACCATAAGGCAACAACAAATTTTGCAACCTGCATAAAAGGTGGTCACCTTATCAAGAATGACAACCCGAAAAGAGAGAGCTAGAGGGAACAGAGAACAGACTGGAACCAAAGGAAAACATGTATTTAACAAATATTTATTAAAGCAAGAATGATATGGTGTCTTAGGAGGACTTCTACAGACCCTGTGAAGTGGGCGGAGACCCCTCGCGGCTTCAGGGCAGCCACCTAGGCCCCGGCTGACCTGGGCTCCCCTTAGCGCCCTGGCTGTCCGGGGAGTCTGCGGCAGGTTCGGGACAGTCCCACGGATCGCCCGCTCAGGGACGTGGGGTTGAGGGGGACGCGTGGGGCGCAGATTGGCGGCAAGGTCCAGGACGCCTATCTCCCGAGGGGCCCTGCATACCGGCATCAGGCGGGCCTGAGCTGCAGGGATTCCAGCAGCCTCCTTGGGGAGCGCCGGCGGCCACTGCCACCACGGCCCTTCTTGGGGCACAGGCTCTGGATCCGCCAGGGACTGCGAAGCTAAGCAGGGTCGCTCGAGTCGCGCTTTGATGGGAGACCGCCCTGGGAGGACCGCCCCCCGCCAGCTCCTCTCTGGCTTTTGGACTCTCACTTTCCACTTCTCTTGGCGCCTCCGTGAAAAGGGACGCCCGGGACTCCCTCTAGCGGCTCACGGGTGTCCCCAGCCAGCACCCGGAGGGCAGGGGCACCGGATCACTGTAACGAGGAGGTGCCCGCGTCAGTGGGCGGGAGGGCCCCAGGGCCCGCGCGATGCTCAGCGAAGCAACAATCCCCAGCCGCCGGTTTTCTTTCCAGTCCCCCCCCCGCCCATGGGACTCAAGGCTCCGGATTCGGGGGGAGCGGTCATGGGGTTTCCCAGGCAGTCTGAGAAACCCCAAAGCGACGCTGCCTTTGGAACCCCCATGCGGTGAGATGGGCTCTCATGCCGGGGGCCTAGCTCACAGGTAGCCCGACCACGGTGGTGGATGCTGGGACCTCGGGGGGCACCGCGGGCGCGAGCTCCTGAAGGGAGCATTTCTTTCGTTGTGCGCATGCGCGGCCTTTGACATTGCGGTGCGTGCGCACACAACGGCTTTTCTCGGTTCACCGGGTCTGAGAAGTGGGAGGCCACCGAGTCTCCCGGTCGGATCTCGGGTTCAGAGAGGACTGCTTGCTGTTGTGGTCTCGACCAGTAACGGCCCAAGGTGGGGGCAGCGGCGGTGCCTCTGAAGCCGCGAGTCGCCACCATGTTGAAGTTCCTCCGCTTCGTAGAGGACCTCAACGGTCGCTGGCGCAGGTTCTCCGGGGGCGCCGAGAGCGAGATGGACCCCAAGAGCGTCTACTCCAAGCATGCCTACCGCATCCGGAAGGGAGACTTGCCGCGGCTGCACATACCTGCCTTCGCTGGGGACGTGCCGGAAATGGAGCGCGTCCTCCTGACGGGGAAGTACTTGCTGAACTCGCGGGACAGTGAGAACAGGTGAGGGCCAGAGCGGCCGCCGGGTGGGGCGGGAAGGGGCGGGGCAGACGCCCTTCCGGGACTCTTGTTTGCGCCGGGGCCGGGGCTCCCTTCGCTTAGTCTCCAGCGCCCGGGCTGGAGGCCTCGGTGGGGGCAAGGCCCTGGCAGCTCTTTGGGCGGAAAACAGACACACAGTCTGGCTGGATTCCCGTCTCCTCCTGGTTCCCCTTCTAGAGCTCGGCATTGGCAGTTTTCTTAAAAAAGGGATGGAATGAACTAACTGAAGTATAGACTCTGTCTTGTCTTTAGTGAGAGAAATAATTCCCGTAATATGTCAACTTCTGGGCTAAAGAGTCTTCAGGTAAAATCCAATATCCATTTTAGATTGATGTGCACATTTTGGATAAAGGTTGAAATAAAGTGGGGGTTTTGCAGGAAAAAAAGAAGTAGAAAACTATCTTCTTATTATGTAGACATTTTATTATACAATGGGGTTTATTATATATGGGTGTATTACATATATACAATTAAAATAATCATTTTAGCTTGTGTCCTTATGAGAGTTAAAAAAAAATACAAGTGTTTCTTATTACTGCAAAATTATTGCTTTCCTCTACAAACATTTTCTTTAAATATACTGAGCACCCCACTTGTATTTATCACTTTAAAAATCCAGTTATTCATCAACGTAACATGAATACTGTTATGTAGCAGATATACTCTACTGTGTCTTATGTTTAACCACACTTAAAATCGTACTATTAGGATTTAATTGCAGTGAGAAGTTTTTCTCCCTTCCTTTTAAACAAAAAAATTTCTGAAGAAAGAAAATGATAAAAGATATAGTTTGCCCTTTTGAAAATATATGACAGTCTTAATATTAACCATTGGAAATATCTGATTCATATTCTACAAGTCTAAAATTTGAATGAGCCATATCTTTTTGTTTGAATTCTGAATTTCTTTTGAATTAAAGTTTTTTGAAAATCACAGAATTTGTGGTCATAATTTCCACCCTCTCTCACCATAGTACTTTGAATAATTAAAATGTATTTAAATGCCACTCACATGACTAGAAAGTTATAGTCCTGATGCCTACCTCTGCCATATTTAATGGAAGGTCAGGCACCATGATTTGTGTGATGCCCCATTATTTTACATATCAATAAGAGAATTTTAAAATGCTGCCAATTATAGTAGTAATTAATCATGAATTACAGGTGATATTCTGATGTTGGAGACATTAAAATGGGAGGAAAGTTAGCATCTTGGAATTACTGAAATACAATGTTATCTCTCATCTTTAAGCCATACCACAAAGCAAGCATAGCTGTGTAATTTTATTTCATTACAATGTTGTTTTTGTTAAGTAAAAGCAATAATTATAGTATCTTATAATTATTGAGCTGCTATTTGTGCTAGGGACTGCTCTAAATAAGTTGCATAGATTCTCATAAGCATCCCAGTGGTGTGTTATGAGATAGCTACTATTTTCATCCCCATTTTGGTGATGAGAAAAATGAGGCACAGAAAGGCTAAATGAGAATGTGAAATGACAGAGTTTCAAGTGGGATTCAAGCCAACGTTGAGCTGACTCCAAAGGCCAGGCTCTTTCCAATCCAGTAGACTGCCTTTTTTTCACGTATGTGGTGTGTAATAAGAGCTGATAAATAGTGTGCTTTCTTCACAAGAAAAGTCGGTTATTTGTATTGAAGGCAGAGCAGTAACATGCTATTCAGTGATTACAATTGCATGAATTTTTATATGTTTTGCGATACTGCATTTCAGTTTTCTGAAAAGTCCTCTCCTCTCACTTTCACAGGACTGCTCTGCATGTGGCCAGTGCCTGTGGCCGTCGAGAAGTGGTCATTTTCCTGACAGAAGAGAAACAATGCCAGCTTAATGTCTGTGACAATGACTACAAAACACCTCTGATAGCAGTATGTACTGGCTCACTATTTTAGCATGAGATGGAGGTGGCTTCAATAGATAGAATAAAAACGAACTTCTCTCATTTAAATATCACTAGGTGGAATCGGTGAGATGTTTATTTTGAATTCCTGGAGTTTATGATTTATGTCTTGGTTTAATACTCACAGGCTGTCCAATGCCAGGAAGAGGAATGTGCAACTATTCTGCTAGAATGTGGTGCCGATCCAAACCCTGTGGATATCCATGGCAACACTGCTCTGCACTATGCTGCCTATCATCAGAATATCTCAATGGCTGAAAAACTGCTATCAGGCAATGCAGATATTGAAGCAACAAACAAGGTAATGCATCAACCCGCCTTATTCCCAAAATACTTGAAATGCATTGGTTTTAACATTGACATATGTATGGGTCAGATTTTCATATTTGAAATCTGAAGCATCCCTGAATGAAAATATTTTAAATAAGTTGATTGGATAATATTTTACTTTAACTATTAATCCATCTGCTCTGGAAATAATCTTTATATTAAAAACTCAAACTAAACTAAAGCTTTTTACAATAAATGGAAACCTTGCTGCTCTTGACAAGCTCCTTAAAAAGTAACATATATGGAAATGAGTTATCTCTCAGTGGCAAGGCTTTAGAGGGAAACGTGGAAAGGGGAATGGAGAACAATCTGAAACATGCAGGCCAACTTGGACAGTTAGATCATTGAGGGAAGTGAGCAAGAAAAAAGTATTGTTTTGTTTGTCATTCAGTGTATGTGCTTAGACAAGCTACCCTTCAGTTTAGGAGAAAATAATTCTCAGTCTGGTGAAGAGGGTCAGCAAGTTTTAGACTTGCCTAGAGATCTGCTTACAGTGACTTGGACAGTAAAATAGGTGGGGATAAAATAGGAAGCATTTCAAAAGAGGGAAGAGTCAATGATTAGCTTCTTATCCTATGCTGGCATAAGCAGTCACTTAAATATGAGTACAAACTCTGCTCTTGAATCTGTAAAGTCTTGATGGGAAAGTGGATGATGAGAAGCTTATAAATAGCAAACCATGTGGCATTTTACACTTACTAGTTGCTGTTCTACTCCTACCCAAGAAAAGTGGCGTTGGCAGCAAATGACTCTATTACTCACGTCTCTTTATGCCCACCTCCCCAAATAATAAAGGGACTTGGCTTTGTGGAGGAGAGATGAGACATGGAAGTGACAGTCTACTGAACTAGTTCTCAGCTAAAATTGTGCATTGCAGTGATCTGAGGGATTTTCTTTTTTTAATCCACAAGTCTAGCCTCTTCCATGAAGATGTTCATTTAATAAAAGTAGTAGGCCCTAGATATGTATAGTATATTTTAAAATACTTCCTCAAAGCTAGGAATGATGGAAAGTGCCTGTAGGCCCAGGTATATGAGAGGCTGAGGTAGGAGAATCTCTTGAGCCCAGGAGTTTGAGTCCATCCTGGCATCATAGTGCGACCCTTTCTCCCTTCTCTAACAACAACAACAACAACAGTGGCGGCAACAGATTTCCTCAAGATTCTGACACAATCCAGGTTAAGAATGACTGAATATTAATATGTAAATTCCCATATATCAAAAATGTCAAAAATCCCTAGATGAGATGGAAATTGGTAGCTGTTACTTCCTTCAAACCTCTGCATCCCAAAAGTAGCCTGACTTGTATCTTTCTTTCTGTTTCTATGGAGGAGAGTGCAAAGAAATGTTTTTGGCAATATCTGTCACCTTATGGAATAACACCTTCCTTTCAATCATCAATTTTCACTTTCATTCAGAGGACCTTTAGAAGTTTACTTATGGGTAGTCTTTCAATAAGTAGGGACTGACCCTTTCAGAATATTCTGTCATTTTATCATCACTCAGGAGATTTGGTCAATAAGTGTTTATTACAAGCAGGGACTTTTTCTAAGTTGATACTGTGTTATGTACTGTCTTCAGTATGTCAAGAAGATGGCAGTTTAAGACACTGAAAATCATGTAGTAACACAAAGAAAGTAATTCTTTTAATAATTTAGTTTCAGCATGGGAGGTTTGAAGGAAGTAACAGCTATTTCCATCTCATCTAGGAATTTTTGACATTTTTGATATATGGGAATTTACATATTAATATTCAGTCATTCTTAACCTGGATTATATCAGAATCTTGAGGAAATCTGTTGCTGCTACTGTTGTTGTTGTTGTTGTTAGAGAAAGGAGAAAAGGTCTCAATATGATGCCAGGATGGACTCAAACTCCTGGGCTCAAGAGATTCTCCTACCTCAGTCTCTCATGTATCTGGGCTTACAGGCACTCTCCATCATTCCCAGATTTGAGGGAGTATTTTAAAATATACTATACATATCTAGGGCCTACTACTTTTATTAAGTGAACATCTTCATGGGAAAAGGTATTCTCTTTTAATTCAGAGCCCATGATTTTCTATGAACTAGTTAGCATTTGATGAACAATCTGGCATAATTAAATGCAGCACAAATAGATTGTGAATGAGGAAATGTTGGAAAAATTCTTGAAATGGGAATTATGAATCTTAATATCAACTTTTATTATATGTTGGCACCTAATCGTTTATGGTAGAACATCTAATACTAAAGGAATGACTGATTGTACATGCACATACTTGTTTTATACCCAGCAATCTGGAATTGGAGCTATGATCAAAATGTGCCCCATACATAAGTTTAGTGTGTCTGCATTAATTAAGTCCATATGTAGAATTGAGGAGACTCAGCCCATGTCTGAAATCCCAGCCCTTTGGGAGGTGGGGGCAAGAGGATTGCCTGAGTCCAAGGGTTTGAGACCTCAAAACCAGTCTGTGCAATAACTCATCAACAAGGGTACCTACACAATGAATTTTTTTTTTTGAGTTGGAGTCTCACTCTGTCACCCAGACTGGAGTGCAGTGGCCGCTTCCAGCCACCACAACCTCGACCTGCTGGGCTCTGGCGATCCTTCCACCTGAGCCTTCCAAGTAGTTGGAATTACAGGCATGCACTACAACGCCCAGCTGATTTTTTGATTTATTGTAGAGATGAGGTCTCGCTGCCCAGGCGGGTCTCGAACCCGCGAGCTCAGGCAATCCACTCACCTCAGCCTCCCAAAGGCGCGGGATTACAGGCTGAGCCACTGAGCCCGGCCTTACAATGAATATTTGTATACCTAACCCTGAATTGTACCCCACGATTTTAAAATAAAAAAAAAATTTTCGAAAAAAAAAAAGAAAGCCCAATGCAGTGGCTTGTAACTATAAACCCGTGCTTGGAAGGCTGAGGTGGGAGGGTTGCTTGAGGCCAGGAGTCAAGACCAGCCTGGGCAACATAGCAAGACCCCATATCTGAAGCAGACAAACAAAATAGCTGGGCATGATGGCTCTCACCTATATTCCCTGCCACTTAGGAGGTG